AAAGCCCATTGTTCTGTTATTTGCTTCACTGTTTGCTGTATTGACTATAAAATAAACTCCTGGGACTGAAGCTGGGGTCGACTCCTCAAAGTGACCCTCCTGGCCCCACTTCTCTGTAAGAGTTGTGTTTGGTTACTGTCTCCGCCGCCCCGACATTCGCCGCCGCTGCGACAATGACCGTGTGCTTTCTTCATGTATGATGCCCTTGATGTCATTCCACAACTGAATTGGTCTTTGGTTATTAGTGTTCTATGCATCAAATCTATTCTTGAGATGGTCTCTAAATTCAGATGGGATGTACTCAAGGTCATACTTTGGCTCTCATGGACTTGTTTTAATTTTCTTCAGCTTCAACTTGAACTTGCATATGAGCAATTGATGGTCTGTTCTGCAGCTGGCCCGGCCTTGTTCTCACTAATAATAATGAGCTTCTCCAGCGTTTCTTTCCACAGATGTAGTCAGTTTGATTCCTGTGTATTCCATCTGATTAGGTCCATGTGTATAGTCATCATTTATGTTGTTGAAAAAAGGTGTTTGCAATGAATAAGTCATAGGTCTCGCAAAATTTTATCGTGATCTCCAGCATCACTTCTGTCACCAAGGCCATATTTTCCAACTACTGATCCTTCTTCTTTGTTTCCAACTTTTGCATTCCAATCACCAGTAATTATCAATGCATCTTGATTGCATGTTTGATCAATTTCAGACTGCACAAGTTCATAAAAATGTTCAATTTCTTCATCTTTGGCATTAGTGGTCAGTGTGTAAACTTGAATAACAGTCATATTAACTGGTCTTCTTTGTGTCTTGTTGTTGTTAGGTGCCGTTGAGTCGGCTCTGACTCATAACAACCCTACGTACAACAGAACAGAACAGAAATGCTGCCTGGTCCTGCGCCGTCCTCACAATCTTGTTATACTTGAGCCCACTGTTGCAGTCACTGTGTCAATCCATCTTGTTGAGGGGCTTCCTCTTTTTCACTGACCCTCTACTTTATCAAGCATGAGGTCCTTCTCCAAGGATTGGTTTTCCTTGTAGGCATATGGATATTATCCTATCACTGACAAAACTGTATTTCAGGATGGATCTTGAAATATTCTTTTTGACGAATGCAACACCATTCCTATTCAATTTGTTATTCCTAGCATAGTAGACCATGTGATTGTCCAATTCAAAATGGCCAGTCTATTTCAGCTTACGCATGCCTAGGATGTTGATCTTCAAGTGTTCCATTTCATTTTTGACAACTTCCAATTTTCCTTGATTCATCGTACATTCCACATTCCAATTACTAATGGATGTTTGCAGCTGTTTCTTGTCATTTTGAGATGTGCCACATCAGCAAAGGAAGGTCTCGAAAGCTTTACTCCATTCACATCATTAAGGTCAACTCTACTTTGCCTAGGCAGCTCTTCCCCAGTTGTATTTAGACTGTCTTCCAACCTGAGGGGCTCATCTTCCAGCACTATGTCAGACAATGTTCCACTGCCATCCATAAGGTTTTCACTGGTCAATTTTTTCAGAAGTAGATTGCCAAGTCCTTCTTCCCAGTCTGTCTTAGTCTGAAATCTCTGCTGAAACCTGTTCACCGTGGGTGACTCTACTAGTATTTGAAATACTGGTGGCATAGCTTCCAGTATCAGAGCAATACGTAAGTCACCACAGTACGACAAACTGACAAACAAGTGGTGGCAGAGTAAATTGCAACCTACAATAAATCTAGTACCATACTCCCAAATCACCCCAAATTCCTGACAGGCCTAAAAGGACCAAGGATAATGAAAGGTGAAGTAAGGTTTCCAGATTTAGCAAATAAAATACAGAGTACCCTGTTAAATTTGAATTTCAGGTAAACAACAAATTTTTTAGTAGAAGTATGTCCCATGCAGTATTTAGGACATACTTCTACTATAAATAAATAAATAAATAGATTTATTGTTTATCTGCAATTCAAATTTCTCTGCAAGTCCTGTATTTAACCTGGCAACCCTAGGTGAAAGAGAAAATGTTAAAACGCTCTGGGTGAAGCTTGCATCACAGTTATAGGAGCTGCAAATTGGTGCATAGGCAGAATTCACAATTAGGTTGTTTAACTGAGAACAGAAAACAGTCAACAGGACAAGCCCTGAGCCTGCTGAGATAAGCTGGGGAAGAGAAGGGCGGGAACCATCAGTCTGCCAAGAGATCTCCCTTCCAGCTCCGACATTCATCCTGACAAGATAAACATGAGTAGCCTGCCCTCACACTCTGGGGAGAGTCGCTAGATGTCAGCTCCATCCCACACACAAGTGTTCTCAGAGCTGCATCTGCCCCTCGGGATATAGCCCCCCCCCCCAATAATTCAAACTCAAATCACCCATGGATTCCAAACCACATGCAACATTTTCTAATGGGGTGATGTTAAAGAGAAGAACATTTAAGAATCTTCGCATAATACGAGACCAAATGGGCACATCTGCCCCAAAGCAAAGACAAGAAGGCAGGAAGGGACAGGAAAACTGGACAAATGGAAATGGGGAACCCAGGGTGGAGAAAGGTATAGTGTTGACATATCGCAGGGGTTGCAACCAATGTCACAAAACAATCTGTATATTAACTGTTGAATGAGAAACTAATTTGCTCTGTAAACTTCCACCTAAAGCAAAATTAAAAAAAAAGAATCTTCACATGATTTTCTTATTAAATGACAATTTCCTTGGCAAAGCACAAATCAACAACCTAATGAACAATTACAGAAAAGCAAAATACCAGAGTGGGTCAAAATACCACTCAGGGTTTTGAATGATCTTCCCAAGTGTCCTCTTTCCTTGAGGGGAATGGTGGATCCTTTTGCAGCCTGAAGCCCTGGGGTTATTTTTGACTTTTAAAGTATGGGGAGGGGAGAGTGCAGGGTTCGTCTTGGGCCTGGCCTAGTTGTCACTCCGAAGTGCGTTCAAGCTGAGAGACCAGTATCAGCATTTCTCCATGGGTATTTATTACTCTGGCAAATCTTCTGGGAGGCAATTTCTGAATTAATTTATTATAATCTATCTGGTTCTTGGTAATTAATGGCTCCGAGAGCCCTACTCCTTTACCAGTGGTTTTACATATTGCTATAAATGGGTACACTTGTGAATATCATGATGACATATGGTCAGAAGGACTTGTAAGCAAGAATGGGCTCCTGCTCTGATCTGAAAATTCTTTAGGAGTCTCTGCACCCTTCCCCCATCAGCACTAGCACTTGGAGACAAACAGAGCTCCTGGGGCTCTCCAGCGGACTGTGGTATGCATATTTGTCTTCCGTGTCTGAACCAGGGCCTCATGCTGTCTCTCCCGCTTGCCTGTCTTAAAACCTGCTGTCGGGAATGTGCTCTCCCTCCTTACTCACATTTAATAGCAACATAATGTGTCCTCCCTCCCTGATACCCATGCCCTTTCACAAGGACTGCAGCCTCCAGCTAAGTAGAGGCTCAGTGGGGAGAACTGCTGGCTGCTCTCATGGTTTCTCCTTCTGGGAATGGGGCTTCCGGAGAAATGATCTGCAACAGTGTAAGGAAGGGGATCCAGAACTACCAGCTAAATTGGCCCTGTCAGTCGATGGGATGACATATTGTGGTCAAACTGCCGTGGCGGTTTGGAATCTGCTTTCTATGTGCAGGTAGTGGGCCATGTTGTATCTCAGCAAACACCAGGCTTTCCAGCACCTGTGAAATCATACCACTTGGACAGCAGTCCACTGTGCCTCCCGCCAGCTCATCTGTGGCCTGGGAGGTCTCAGAGGCTTCCACTGAGCTGCTTTGGTCAAGACTTGGCACTCATATCTCACCAAAACAGACACTAGCACTTTTGCAGCACACTTGGGACTCTACCCACTGCAACTAAATGGGCTTGAGTCACCTGGGGTTCCCCTGTCCAACTTCAGAGCCTTTTGGTGGTATCAGATCAACACAGACTCTAAAGGAAGGGAATTGTACCTTAAATCTGAGTCGTTTCTAATTAGTTTAAATATATAGTTTTTTAAAATCATAAAAATGCATTTTTTTATAGAAAACCTGAGCAAGAAGGAATAGCTAGGTTGGAATTTTTAGCCCCTACCTACCTCAACCAGGCTTATGAAGATTTGGGTAAAAATTATATCATTAAAGTATGGTATAAACTGTGTATAAAGGCCCCCTCTCAGCTTAAGAGCAGCTTTCTGATTTTTTTAAGGGAGATCATGAGACTTACGTTGTGTTCATGGCAAAAATTTACAGCTTGCAGTGTCTGCCAAGTTATGCTCTTCACGAGTTGTTCTGGTACCCTAATAAAAACAGAGAAGCAGCACAAACACATTCTTTAGTGTGGCTATGGAATTCAGCTCAAGAAAAGAAAAGGAATAAACCGAGACAGGCATAAACAGTGAAAAATCCTAGGTGCCGTATAATGTCATCTCAGTCATTAAGCAGTCATAGCATGGGCCCAAAGTGTAAACAACATACAACCAGCACACTGCTGAATTCTAGGGACAGCAAGGTAACACAAAGGCTAATATTTACTTCACAGGGGGAAAAAAAAAATAAACCCATTGCCAAGGAGTTGATTCCAACTCTTAGTGACCCTATAGGACAGAGTAGAACTGCCCCACAGGGTTTCCAAGGAGCACCTAGTGGATTCAAACTGCCTACCTTTTGGTTAGCAGCTGTAGCTCTTAACCACTATGTCACCAGGGTTTCCACAGGGAGGGACCATGAAAATCCACAGGATCAAGTATTAATGACCACCTACCTCAAACATCTGTGACACCTCTGGTCTATTTCTACTTTTAGTTGACATAAAGTTAGGGACCGTGAAAATCCACAGGATCAAGTATTAATGACCACCTACCTCAAACATCTGTGACACCTCTGGTCTATTTCTACTTTTTGTTGACATAAAGTTAGTTAACATACAGCATAAAAGATGCCACTTATTTCTCCACGTTACCCCAACTGACAGCCTTGTACAGGACTCATCTTCCATGTGTGGGCACAGTAGCCACACATGTTTTTTTTTCTGTGTTTGTTTCTGTAGGTAATGAAGATAGGTGTGATGGTTAATTTTATGTGTCAACTTGGCTAGGCTATGATTCCCAGTTGTTTGGCCAAACACTAGACTAGTTGCTGTTCCTTAATGTGATGTGATGTGATATAATATAACAACCTTACATAATATAATCTAATATAATCAATCAATCAGTTAAAAGGAGAGTTTCCTTAGGGTGTGGCCTGTCCCCAGACTATAAATAGATATTTTGGCAGAACTCTCTCTCTCTCTCTCTCTCTATGTGTGTGTGTGTGTGTGTGTTTCTCACTGGTTCTGTTTCTCTAGAGAACCTTGACTAAGACAATAGGGAAGAGGATTATATTGCACACCACGTAACAAAAATTAACAATAATTAATAACCAGATAGGCATCTTGGTTCTTTCCCCACAATGCTCCTCTCTGGGGGCTAGCTGCAAATGCTCACATCTTTCCGCTCTGTCCTCTATCACAGCATCTAAACTCGATGCCATTGTTCCCAGCACTTCTTCCGTGGCTCCAACCTTATATGACCAGGGCAAGCAATGGTCCCAGCAGGTCCGCCATGTGAATTAGAAAAAGGCCACTTCTGTGGGAGGTTTAGGTAACACTTTTAAGAATATCAGATAATGAGTAAAATGAATTACAGAAAGAGTACATTTATTTTCAGAGATCTCCCATATACCAGCTGGATTTACTATTTTTGGGAATCAAACCATTAAACAACCTTGTTGTGTTCCTCAGGCAGAACTAATAAGTAAGCCAGGGAGGAAACCGTTGAGTAGTTGTGTTAATTTAAAGTGACCAAAAAAAGTCATTTCCAGACTCTAGGAGAGGCTACAAGGCCACTGTTGTTACAGGCCAGACATCCAGGAAATCCTTTCAAGCAGACCAGAGGATGCTTGAGCAGAGAGGTAGGACAACATGAGGAAAATGCAGGGGTCACCACAAGGAGGATTAGCCAGGACTTTTCTGGACCAGGGCTATGTCTCTGGGTTTGAAGTAACTTTTCTTCAAAGTCACTTTCTTGTTCTAGGGGCACTTAGGCACAAATGCCAGAAAAACTCACCTGTCTAGAAAGAAGGCCTAGAAAAATTCAACCAGAAAGGGGACATTTTAGGAGGAAAACTTTTCCCCAGCCTCCACTGTTTGTCCAGAAAAACAAAAGGGGATATATTTTGATCATTCAATGAATAAAACAATACAAGGTTATCATGCCAGGCACTTTAGTCTCCAAAAACATTTTCTAAAAGAACGTACATGAAAGGAAAGTTTTGAAGTAAACTGCACTAGCATATTATTAATGCTCCTCTAATTCTAAGTACACTGTCACACAATTCTTAAATGTAAAAACTCTGTATTAACTTCCTAGTATCTTGGACTGGCTACTCACTTCACTTCTTTATCACTCAGTTTTGTTCATCTAGAATGTGGAGGCCTCAGATTCTCTCTAAGATCTCTTTTAGCTGCAACACTTTGACATAAGAAGAGGAGCCAGATTGTCACTGCTGGAGAAAGGAGTTACAAATATGGAAAAGGAGAAAAATAAAATATATCCTGTGGTATTGGACTGGAATTGGATATATATACATAATATTCTCGAGCTCAGTCCACTGAGAGGACCTTGGAGCAGTAACACACCAATAACAATGAATACACTCAGAACTGATACATTGGTTTCTAAATCCTATTGTCTACTGAAAGAAACAAGAGCTCTTTGAAAGAATGGCTGATTCTGGTGTTGGGTAGGGAAGAAACAAGATGAGCCTGGAATATATTGTTCTTCCAGAAAGTAAAGTAATGCTCAAAAAGTGATAGGAAGATATCAAAAGTATACAGGAACCAGTTTGAAAGGCCCCTACTAGTCAAACTGAGGACAATATGAAGATCAAAATTAATAATGATTAACAGCAAAAAGACAAATAATCCAATTAAAAAAATGAGCAAAGGATATGAACAGATACTTCACCAAAGAAGACACCCAGGTGGCTAACAGACACATGAGGAAACGCGCCGATCATTAGCCATTAGAGAAATGCAAATCAAAACTACAATGAGATATAATCTAACCCTGACATTACTGGCACTAATCAAAAAAACAGAAAATCATAAATGTTGGAAAGGTTACGGGGAGATTGGAACTTTTATGCACTGCTGGTGGGAATGTAAAATGGTATAACCACTATGGAAAATGATATGAGGCCTCCTTAAAAAGCTAGAAATAGAAATACCATATGGTCCAGCAATCCCACTCCTAGGAATATATCCTACAGAAATAAGAGCCATCACACGAATAGACATACGAACACCCATGTTCATTGTAGCATTATTCACAATAGCAAAAAGATGGAAACAACCTAAGTGCCCAGCAACAGATGAATGGATAAACAAACTATACATACACACGATGGAATACTATGCAACGATAAAGACAATGATGAATCCACAAAACATCTCACAACATGGATGAATTTGGAAGGCATTACGCTGAGTGAAATAAGTCAATCACAAAAGGACAAATACTGTATGAGACCACTATTATAAGAACTCAAGAAAAAGTTAACACACAGAAAAAAACAATCTTTGATGGTTACTAGGGAGGGGAGAGATGGGGAGGGGAAATCACTAACTGGATAGTAAGTAGACAAGTGTTAACTTTGATGAAGGGAAAGAAAACACATGATATAGGGAAAGACAGCACAACTTGACCAAGGCAAAGCCATTGAAGCTTCCTAGACACATCCAGACACCTTGAGGGACTGAGTTACAGGGGCTGAGAGCTGGGAACCAAGGTCTCGAGGGACATCTAGGTGAATTGGCATAACATACTTTATAAAGAAAATGTTCTACATCCTACTTTGGTGAGTAGTGTTTGGGGTCTTAAAAGCCTGCGAGTGGCCACTTACATACATCCATTGGTCCTATCCCATCTGGAGCAAAGGAGAATGAAGAAAACCAAAGACACAAGGAAAATTAGTTCAAAGGATTAGTGGATCACATGAACCACAGCCTCCACCAGCCTGTGCCCAGAGGAACTAGATGGTGCCTGGCTACCACCACCAACTGCTCCGACAGGGATCACACACAATAGAGGGTCCCAGACAGAGCAGGAGAAAAATGTAGAACAAAATTCAAATTCACAAAAAAAGACCAGACTTACTGGTCTGACAGAGACTAGAGGAACCCCTGAAGCTACGGCCTCTGGACAACCTTCTAACTCTGAATTGAAGCCACTCATGAAGTCCACTTTTCAGCCAAAGATTACACAGTCCCCTAAAACAAACAATAACACACATGAGGAATGTGCTTCTTAGATCAATCAAGTATATGAGTCCAAATTGGCAACACGTGCCCAAAAGCAAAGACGAGAAGGCAGGAAGGGACAGGAAAACTGGATGAATGGACACAGAGAACCCAGGGTGAAAGGGAAAGGGGGAGAGTGCTGACACGTTGCAAGGATTGCAACCAATGTCACAAAACAGTTTGTGTATAAATTTTCTTTTAATTGTTGTAATTTAAGTGAAAGTTTACAATTCAAGTTAGTCTCTTATACAAAAATTTTATACATACATTGTTATGTGACCCTAATTGCTCTCCCTATACTGTGACAGCACACTCCTCCTTTCCACCCCTGATTTTCTGTGTCCATTCAGCCAGCTCCTGACCTTCTCTGCCTTCTCATCTCACCTCCAGACAGGAGCTGCCCATTTAGTCTCATGTATCTACTTGAGCTAAGAAGCACACTCTTCACAAGTATCTTTTTATGTCCCATAGTCCAGTCTAATCTTTGTCTGAAGAGTTGGCCTCAGAAATGGTTTTAGTTTTGGGCTAACAGAGAGTCTGTAGGCCATGTCTTCCAGGGTACCTCCAGTCTCAGTCAGACCATTAAGTCTGGTCTTTTTACTAGAATTTAAGTTCTGCACCCCACTTTTCTCCTTCTCCATCAGGGACTCTCTGTTGTGTTCCCTGTCAGGGCGGTCATTGGTGGTACCAGGCACCATCTAGTTCTTCTGGTCCCAGGCTGATGCAATCTCTGGTTTATGTGACCCTGTGTATAAATTTTTGAATGAGAAACTAATTTGTGCCGTAAACTTTCACCTAAAACACTATAAAATAAGAAAAATTAATAACGATACACACTAATGCATGGAGGCGTAATGGGGCATGATGTTGGCAACATACTCTCAAATAGGTCAGGGAAAAAAATTCTTCATATTGCACTTACTTGATTTCTCAAAGTTTCAGATTGTTTAAAAATAGAAA